AAAAAAAAAAAAAGAAGAGACAAAGTCCTGTTCCAAGGGTTCTTTTTTTTCACTTTCTAATTGGTGACCTTTATAGCATAGTATCCTTGGAAGTTTTTAATTTTGCTAAGTGTTTTTTCTTCTGTCATTTGTTTGTTTACATGCCTTATATATTATTTTTTGTTCTCCACTTTTAAGTAACAGGCTTCATTTTTATTTGTCATTTATGGAAAAAGTAGCTAAATAGTTTAAAATGTCATTATATGTTAATGACTTTTATTAACTTCAAATAAAGTCACATTTGGCTAAAAATTTCAATCATAGTATAAAATAAATGGAAAAGGATATGTGTTAATTAGCTATAATAATGAAAAAATAAAATCAATAATATTGACTTTTAAGACATTCTATTCTGGGTAATTCCCCTCCCTCCAAAATCCTTACTCATTAATTTTGTGCCATTGGCATTGGCCTTTGCCATCAACTCTCAGACAACACAAGAATGACGGCGTGTAAGGAACAGGGGTGGCTTTTCATTGGCAGGAGATTTGAGCGTGAGTGTTAACCTGTGATGAGAATATGTGGTGTTAGTTGAGATCTCCTGAGGATGCCATGGTAAGTCTTTTGCTGTTGCCTTTGTACCAGCATTTTGTGCCGCTTAGAGGCAGTGCTCCAGATTCTCGTCACATCTGCTTCATAGAATGGGGATCCACCACAGTAGAATTTGTAAGAAAGGCTTCTCTGTTTAAAAAGAAGTGACCTGAAATCTACTGTTTGTAGACTGAAAACTGACGGGAGTGTCCCTTACCCCTGACAAAGATGCATCCTATTGCTTTGTGAGTCACTGCGGTCCACAGATTGGATCTCATGCCTTTATTTTATTTTTCTGTTTTAAAGATGGGAATCTCCTTCTGTAGCCTGGCTTGGCCTGGTAGTAGCCGTGTAACCTTGATTGGCCTTGATCATAAGGTAATCCTTCTGTCCTAGCCTCAGAATTGTTGGGATTGCAGGTTTTAACTTCCACACACAGCTAGATTGCCAATTTTGAAAAAAGAACTTTATACATGTGGTCAGGTTTGGCAAGTATGGAAGAAACTTCATTGAGGTTGATTTCATCATATTTTTCTCCCTTCGGTTCAGACCTAGAGGTTTGCATTTTCTTCATGTTCAAAACTCTAATGCCATGTCTGTTTATTTTACAGGTTATAAATTCTAGTTAAATTCAATCCGTCAGAAGAAACATCACCAGAACTTTATTAAGAATGGATTCTGAGAATAAACATGAAAATGATGAGGATGAGGAAGCCACAGACACGAAAATCATTTCCTCCTGTGATGCCAGTTGTGGGCCTGTATCCGATGGGATAGCAAATGCCTCTGAGAGTTTCACGAGCAAAAGGGTTTTTTCAGAATCGTCCAGCTCAGACAGTGTTGCTGTGGAGGAAGAGAGAAATGAACTTGCTTCCAAACGAAGGAGAATAGAGCCCTGTGAGATGGAAGAGCAGGGCACCTCTGGGTTGGACACTGAAGAAGCTGATGTAGGACAGGAGGCCTTCTCCACCAACCACTCAGATGGAGGCCAAGCCCTTCCCAGTGTCTTCTCCCCACCAGGGGATTTTAGTACATTTGATACTCTTCATTTGAAAGCAGATGCGGAGAGAAAGCCTGCTCAGGAAACGGTTTCCCTAGTTCCGGAAAGACACACTCCTTTTCCTCCAGAAGAAATGAGTGTTAGTAGCTTTGGAAATGCAGAGACAGTTCTCAAGTGCAGGATGTGTGGCCATTCATTTTCCTCTTGCTCTGCTTTGGAAGAGCATGTGGAATGTCGTGTGGAACAGGAGAAGAAGTGTGCCTGCTGCCACTGTAGCCACAGAGCAGAGAGCAGCTCGCCTCCTCACGTGCATGTCAAACATACTCACGGGCCTCAGAAAATTTTTTCCTGTGATCTCTGCGGCTTCCACTGTGCCGAAGAAAACCTGCTGAATGCGCATTATCTTGGCAAAACACACCTTCGGCGTCAGAACCTTGCTGCTCGTGGAGGATTTGTACAAATCTTAACAAAACAGCCTTTTCCTAAAAAATCCTGTGTCATGGGAACAAAGAATGTTAGAACGAAACCAAGAGCTTCTAAACCACTGGCAAGGAATGGGGATTCCAAAGGAGTGCAGAACACTGGGAACAACTCTCAGGCCTGCAGAGGAACCCTTTCTGAACACAGTGGTGCTGGGAGTGAGCTGCTTGTCGAAATGGTGCCATCTAGGAATACCTCATCAGGGAAAGAAGAAGTTGTTGAGGAAAGTGTTACTTTTGGTGTAGTTCAAAGTCCTGAAAATCAGAACAAACAGCTAGGGGGCTTAGTAAGCTCAGAGGGTCTTTTAGGTAAACCGGAATCCATTAAGAATACCCTCCAGAGAGCGCATATTAGTATCAGTGCCACCTCGAGGACAAGATCTGAGCGAAATCTCCTCATGTTGGGTCATAGCTTTCGCAGAAGAACTGGCACCTTTACTTTAAAGGGCCAGGCAAAGAAAAGGTTTAATCTTCTAGGAATTAATAAGAGGGGTACCAATGAAACTCAGAGGATGTATATGAAACACTTTAGAACACAGATGAAGCCAAATGATGCACAGCCAATGACAGAACAAAGACAAACGAGCCAGGATGTCCAAAGTCTGTGTGTGACTACCTCAGACGACGCAGAAGGGACGCAGGACAAGACAGCTTCCCATCTTTCGGGCTCCACGCAGCTGGGCTCCCTGCCAGTAAAACCAGCTCCAGTCTGCCAGGTCCTGTGTACCTGTCCAGAGTGTGGTCATATAGCTGCAGACAAGACAGACTTGGAAATTCATGTGAGAAGGTGCCCTGCAAGAGAGATGCGGTTTTGCTGTCAGACCTGTAACTTTTCTAGTCCGTCGAGGGAAGGCTTAGAGGAACACTTTCATAATGACCAGCACCAGCAGGTGGCTCCTGCCCTCAGCTGCCAGCATTGTTCCTTCGTTTCCTTGAATGAAGTGGGTCTTAGAGACCACATGAAGGAAATGCATAACATGGGCTTTTTTTGCACCTCCTGTAATCTGTTCTTGCCTGAAAAGGATGTGGAAGAACACAGAGCAACTGAGATGCATAATAGTTTAGTGGTCCAACCCAAGACGGCATCATCATTGAGCAGGGACTCTGTTTTACCTTTAAGTACTTTAGAATCAGAAAACATGGAAGATTCTAGAGAAGAATCAGGGAAAGCAGCTAAGGAAGATCCTGCTGAGTCGAGGGTCAGCCATGGAACTGAAGCAAGGCATTCAAGTAAGCCTCAGTTTCAGTGTAAGAAGTGCTTTTACAAAACACGGTCTTCCACCGTCCTCACGAGACACATAAAGCTTCGGCATGGGCAAGACTATCACTTTCTTTGTAAAGCATGTAATCTTTATTCATTGAGCAAAGAAGGGATGGAGAAGCACATTAAAAGAAGCAAACACCTTGAAAATGCTAAGAAAAATAATATTGGTTTAAGTTTTGAAGAGTGCATTGAAAGGGTGTGCATAGGTGCAAATGATAGAAAGGAGGAGTCTCACGTTTCTGGAAGTGGAAGAGCCGAAGGCCATGTTGGTGTGCGATTACAGGAGCATTCCTGTCGTGAGCAGAGCTTGCTGCCTCCTAAGGAGCTGCCCCAGTCTGGTGTCGGCACCAGAGATGATGAATTAGCCTTAGCCCCTGCTCCAAAGAGAGGGCGGCCCAAAGGCAGCATTTCACGGACCTGTTCACACTGTGGACTTCTGGCCTCTAGTATTACAAATTTGACGGTGCACATCAGGCGTAAACACAGTCACCAGTATAGTTATTTATGCAAAGTCTGTAAGTATTATACTGTAACTAAAGGAGATATGGAACGTCATTGTGCCACCAAGAAACATAAAGGACGGGTGGAAATAGAAGCAAATGGGAAACAAAGCTCAGATATAATTGTTGGCCCAGAAGGGGGTGATCTTGAAGCGTGTAAAAAGAATTCCCCTGGAGCAGTGACCGCTTCCAATGAGCAGGCTGACAGGTCCGCTGGGTCTGCTGCATCGCCTACAGATAAGCCGGTGGTCGACTGTGAAAACGCAGTAGAAGTTGAAGCTGAGAATGTGTTTCATTCTGGAGATGGAGAAGGTAGCCGTCGACTCTCTGATAGAAAGGGGCAGCTCTCTCTAGATCCAGAGGACCTTCTACAGCAGAATGATGTGTGCTCTCAGAGAGATGTTGCAGGTTCAGGTGACAATAGATGTCTGCACTGTGAGTTCAGTGCTCACTCAGCTGCTTCGCTAGAGCTGCATGTGAAAAGGAAGCACACCAAAGAGTTTGAGTTTTATTGCATGGCCTGTGATTACTATGCAGTGACTCGCAGGGAAATGACTAGGCATGCTGCAACAGAGAAGCATAAGATGAAAAGGCAGTCTTACCTCAACTCCTCTACTGTGGAAGCAGGTTCTTCAGAAATGTCCAAAAGCATCCTTGTGCCTGAGGAGGGGCATTCACAAAACCCTGAGGAATTTAAAATAAAACCAGACCAATCATCTGATACTCTCAAACCTAGAAATGCTGCAGATTGCTCTATTTTAGATGAGAATGCTAGCTTAGACATGTCTAAAGTACTCTGTGTTCCTGACGCAGTAGAAATTGTGACTGAGGAAGATCATTCCTTTTGTGAGACCTTGCAACAGCCCCTTGCTAAGGACAAACATATGAAACCTGGGGAGATAGTGTCCCTTAATACACCCTCTAATCATGGCTCCCCAGCCCGTCTTCAAGCTGACAATCCAGGAGACTATGCTGCGGATTGTGAGACAGGAAAGGAAAACCATGGCTTGTTGAACGATGCCGATGCTGGTGACCCAAGGACACGCTGTGAAGGTGAGGGAGGCAGTACCAGTGATAGTGGAGGTAAAGTCCTTGACAAGTCCCTCTCCTCTGGAGACTTAGATGGGGACCATTCCGCTGAATCCACTTCCCCTGCTGGGGACCTGGATGGTGGCGGCCAGAGCAAAGCTGGATGTGAACCGAGTTCAGAAGACTTGAAAGATGTGCAAGCTGACCCTGTTCTCGAGAATAAGGAAATCCTGATGAACTCACAACATGAGATTGTTTTAGAAGAGGATGGCCCAGCTTCTGATGACACAGTTGACAGTAACGATGTGTATGAAACTATAATAAGTATTGATGACAAAGGGCAAACCAGGTACAGTTTTGGCCGGTTTGATTCTTCCATAATTAGAATAAAAACTTCTGAAGATGGTGAATTGGTAGATCAGTCGGAAGAGGGTCTTCTGGCAGCAGGGGTGAGAGTTAGTGAGTTGCCCCCAAAAGACTGTGTTCAAGGCTTGAAGAAGAGGAAAGTTGAAGGCAGTTCCTTCGGCGAGTCCACACGAATCCGATGTGATGATTGTGGTTTCTTAGCAGATGGATTGAGTGGACTGAATGTCCACATAGCTATGAAGCATCCCACGAAAGAGAAACACTTCCATTGTTTACTTTGTGGGAAATCCTTCTATACCGAGAGCAACCTTCACCAGCATTTGGCTAGTGCTGGCCATATGAGAAATGAACAGGCCAGTGTAGAAGAGCTTCCAGAGGGAGGGGCCACCTTCAAATGTGTCAAGTGTACAGAGCCCTTTGATTCTGAACAGAACTTGTTTCTACACATTAAAGGACAACACGAGGAATTGCTACGGGAGGTAAATAAGTACATAGTGGAAGACACTGAGCAAATCAATCGCGAGAGAGAGGAAAACCAGGGGAACATCTGCAAGTACTGTGGGAAGATGTGTCGGAGCAGCAACTCCATGGCCTTTCTGGCTCACATTCGCACCCACACAGGTATGTAACCCTGGTAGCAAGCCTGCGTTTCCTACAAAGTGCAAAAGTGATGGAGTTTGCACTTTGGGTCCCAACCAAGTATAGAACCCCATTTGAATTTGCTGACGAACCTTCCCCTAATTCATATTTCGTGTTTGTGTGATGTTCTGCTTGTGTCTAGGAATTGTTGACATTTAATGTTTCCAGAGGCAATTTAGCCTTAGAGATTCTAAAGGCACATCAGTGGACAAATTGCTTTTACTTTTGTCAAAAGCAGCCTCTGATGGCTGTGCAAAATTCTTGTGTTTTACTGCTTTTCATTTGTTTTGTATTAATTATTTGATTTTCCAAAGTTATAGTAAACGACACTTTGTGGTTTTGGAGAGCATATTAAGTAGCTTTTAACCTTTATTAAAATTCTTATGTTCTGAGACAGGGCCTCACTGTGTAGTCCTGGCTGTTCTGAAACTTACTATGTAGCCTAGGCTGTTTTCCACCTCACATAGATCCGCCTGCTTCTGCTTCCCAAGTGTTGGATTAAGGGTGTGTGCCATGACACCCTCAAATTTTTAGTCTTTTATTATTCTCTCATATATTACATCCTGATTGCAATTTCCTCTCTTTCCTCTCTTCCCAGTCCCTCCCCTACCTCCCCTCTCCCCAGATCCACTCCTCCTTTCCCTTCAGAAAAGGGTAGGCCTTCCAGGTATGTCAATCAAATATGACATATTAGGTTGCAATAAAACTAGGCATCTCCCCTAGTTTTAAGGCTGGACAAGGCAACCCATTGGAAGGAAAAGTCCCCAAAGCAAGCCAAAGAGTCAGAGAGACCCCCTCCCCCCAATGTTAGGAGTCCCTCAGGAAGACCAGGCTCCATATCCATAACATGCAGAGGACCTAGGGCAGACCCACGTAGACTCCCTGATTGTCAGTTCAGTCTCTGAGCTCGTATGAATCCGGGTAAGCTGGTTCTGTGGGCCATTATCTTGTGGTGTCCTTGACCCCTCTGGCTCCTATAGTTCTTCCTTCCCCTCTTCTGTAAAGGTGTGTGCCACCACATCCTCAAAAATTTAATGTTTATTTTTTTTCCTATGTGTTTTGCTTGCCTGTATGTCTGTGTACTGCATGCATGCATTGTTCTTGGAAACCAGAAGAGGGCATTGGATCCCCTGGCCATTTAACCTGGATCCTGTGGAAGGGAAGCCTATGCTCTTAACTGCTGAGCCATCTCTCTTGCCCCTTAATAAAATTTCTTAAGATATTAGAAATTTAAAAGTATTTATCAACAGATAGTTTGTATCTACAAGCCTGAGTCCCAGTAGTATGATCCTACTTTCAAGGACCAGAATTTGTGAACATGCTTCCCTTAATATGAATTGGAATTTGATTTTTCATTGAGGTAGTACCTGATTTAGGGTCTGTATTCTGACACATTGAACATTACATGCTAATGTTTAGTTTGGGGAGAAATTTTAAATATATATATATATGTATATATATATATTTGGTGAAAAATGTATAAGCCACTGTTCTAAATTTATGTAAAAATTCACTGCAGTGTTTCTATAAACCTGCCATACATTCTTTATTTTAAATAGACAGCTTTTCTAAATCATTGTGCTCTGCTTAGACAAGTTCTGTCTACATGGTTGAATTTATGAGTGGATTTGAATAATAAATTCACATTTCAATGAACATATTTTCATTAAAACGGTGAGGTTTATTTTACTGTACTTTTAAATAATGGCATATTGTTAAATCTACACTTTAAATTCCTGCAGTTTTTGAAACTTAGTGCATGGCTACACGGAGCTATACAGCATTGTCAGTAACTGAGGTTGATTAAAGATAGGTCAGACATTTCCTTTAAAGAAAGTAATAGGAGATCAGTTCCGGTGAATATAAACACCGCAGTCTCTGGCCTGCTCTCCCCTAGCTACTTGATGCCCATTTCTGGAGGACGCCAAGTGCTTATGTGTGTGTGTTGTTGGTATCTGTTGTTGCTTCTCACACTCTGAAATGACATGGCATTAGACACCAGGCTGTTCTTACGCATGGAAAATAAGTCAGATAAAACTGAATAAAACCAAGAGGAAGATGCTAATGGAGCTCTTTTTAGAATTCTTTATGCAACTGTCTGGTCAAGACATGTTGCTTATAATTGATGTGTCCATTACTTGAATTCTCTTGTAATTATAGTCAATAAGTCTTGTAAATGTGTTAAAGCTCACTAAAAGCATACAAATTCAAGAACAGAGTAAGGCTAATAATTTAAAATAATCAATGTAGGCATTTCAGCACTTAATTTCCCTTGTGTGTTGATAGCTGATCATTCTTAATCCATTAAGATTTATTTAGTCGTTTACAATGCAAAATAGGTTTGCACTGGTCACTTGTGCCATTTGAAAATGTCTACCAGGTTAAGTGCAGAATGTAGTCCATTAGTCTTCCTTGACTATATATATTAATTGCATTTAAAATCAAGTTAATGTGGATGTGAAAGTGAAGTAACTATCAATATGTGACAGAGTAACCCTACTTACATAAGTTACATCATCGATTGCAACATTCAGTAAAAGTTAGCAGACTTTTTTTTTTTTTTTTTT